CCTGGTAAATCCTCCTCTGGTGCCTGCCCTCCCAGGTACCCACACTTCAGGCCCCACGATTCTCTCTCTCTCCCTTGTTCACTGTTCTGTTCATTGCTCTGGCCACAGTGATCTCCTTCAATCTGCTTTCAACCTTCCTGGCACACTCCCTCCTGGGCCTTCATCACAGCCATTCCCTAGGCCTTTTCCAGAAAACCTAGAAAACCCCAGGGCTTCCTCCCTTACCTCCTGGAGGTTCTGCCTTCAAAGAGAGGTCTTTCCAGATGACCTGTACCGCACAGTACCCCCTCACCACTCTTTTATTTACTGTCTATCTTGCTACATTACAATGTGAGCTCTACAAGGGCAGGGCTTGTGTCTGATTCCTTGCCGTGTTCCCAGCATACAATAGGCTGTTACATGTGAACGACACATGGGTGGGTGTTTCACCCTGGCCCTGACTCAATCATGTAATGTGGTCTTCTGTTACGTTCAGTGAGCAGGCAGGGCTACTGCCCACACAAGTGGTCACTTGATGATGAGGGCGACCAAGAGGCTCAGGGAGGGCAAGGAGCTTACATGCAAGGTTACAGAGTGAACTCTGCTCTGCGTCTCTCCAAAAAACAAAAACCAGTTGCCATTCAGTTGATTCTCTATGATAGAACTATGCTCCATTGGGTTTTCAATGGCTGATTTTTTTTGGAAGTAGATCCGCAGGCCTTTCCTCCAAGGCTCTGGGCCCCAGCAGGCATTTATTTCTCACATGGACACACTGGGAGGTTTGGCTGATGAACTAATGTTCACCCTTTATTGGATTGGCTCACCTCAAGATGGCTGCAGGGAACCCCCTCTTATCCCTCCCAGAAATGCTAGGTATTCCCCAGACCAGAGGTGCGCCTCCCAGAGGCCCTGCCTATCTCTGTCAGCACTCAGCTTGGAGCAAAGGTCATCTGTCCACTTGGGTCCAACACTTTCCAGAGCTCCAAGGGCATACTCGTTAGCTATGATAGCAGAGTCAGAACCAATGATTGATGGGTGATCAATGTCTCTGACTGAAGGGCCACTGATGATCTCAGGTCAGGTCTGAGAGGAAGAGGTGTTTCTGCTCTGAAGGAACCCCTGGCGGAACCCTGAGCCAGACATAGACATGTGTCTAAGAGCAGAAAAGGAGCTCTCCATCTGGCTGAAAGGGCTTCCCCCAAGACTCTGGGTTTAGGGGCTAGGTGGTCATTGACTGCAGAGAATTAACAAATAGGCCCCTCAGCTTTGCTTGGCTTTCCCTGGCTGCCTGAGCTGACCAGACCTAATCTGGTGTTTAGTCCATTGCTCAAGGAACAGGCCCAGTGTTTTGGGAGCAGCCACCCAAGTTGTCCTTGGGGGACTGTCTTATTCCAAAGCCAGCAAGGAATTGAATGTGGCTGAGGGAGGGGGCAGTGGATGTGTGTGTCCACTCCTGGGGAAAGGTATCTTTTATTTATTCAACCAGCACTCACCCTTGCTGAGTGGTTCTTGTCCCCACAGGACTGTATGTTCCTAGAGGGTCAGGTGTGGAAGCTGCTGCCCAGCTGACTGGAGGAAGGCCCTATCCCAGCCCACAGCATGCAAGAGGTGGTCTGTTGGAGGTGCTGGAGTGGAGGGCCCTACAAGGGAAGGAACTGGCTTCTGGGAAGGCTAGTGGTAACCAACAAATACGCCTACTGGCACTTTCTCCCGGATGAACTTATCAGCCCTTTACTTATGCCACAGCTGCCAAACAATCTGCCTTCTGTGAAATCCAGACAAAAGAGACCCCTCCCTCACTCTGCCTTGGCTGGCCCTGCTTGCTGGCCCACTGCCTCAGGCAGGCCTGGAAGCCTGGCATTTAGGTCAGGATCCTCCACCTTTGGCCAGCACTAGTCCCTGACCCTCTCCATCAGAGCTGGGGAAAGAATCAGCAGCAGGAGGCTCTCTCCTGGAAGTGTCTGGGGCTGGGTACTGGCTATTGGTTCTTGGTTCTTCAGGGACATGCCAGAAGAAGAAGCCCTGGAATCCTAGGACCAGAGGAAAGTTTGGCCCATGTAAGCGTCCACTAGATTTGATCTGAGCTGGAACCAAGGCCTCAGATTAAATTATCTCAGCCCTAAGGAAACAATGGGCCATTTGCCTTGGGCCTTGCACAGGACTCAAACCCTTCGAGGTGACTGCAACTGGGAGGTGAGGCAGACATATAGCTTCCTTCCCAAATAGAAATTGAGCATCTACTGTGTGCAGGCTCTTAGGTGCCAATGTGGGGCCAAACAGATTGGTCTCTGGCCTCATATGCTCACGCTCCGGTCAGGGGAGGAAATCTTAATTGGTTAGTCTCCCTTGAATCTCAGGCTGGGGGGCTAAGCGAGAGAAGCACTGGAGTGGAAGGGCCAGGAGAGCTGAGGGCTGACTGTCGGGGCTAAAGAGCCCCATTCTCAGCCTCTTGAACAGTCCTCCCCAGGCCTATATCATGTGGACCCTTTCAGCAGCTGCTCCTGGGCATGCTCTGGGCCTCACTCTTGGCCTTGCTCTCCGACTGGCTGTGAGCACCAAGTCTGGCTGGGACGGCCTAGGCCCTGCTGGGCTTCCAGAAAGGCCCGCAAAGATGAGTCACTGGAGACCTTATGCTGAGCCCCAGGGTGGACTGTGCAAGTCTCTGGGAGGGGAAAGGCTTTGACTCTCAGCCTCACTCAACCTAAGGACCCATGAAGACAGCTTCCTACCCTCCCTCCTCCTTTGGTATGGGCTCTGATTGAGCTCTAGGAGACTGGTCCATCTCTGGCCTTTTAGGCCTCCTGCCTTCCAGGGCCTGAAGGAACAGGAGGATGAGGGAACCCCAACTCCAGACAAAAATGAAGAAAGCCAGGAATGAGGCCCAGAGCTGAGGGCTCTTCTGGCCGGAGGGGAGGAACACAGGGAGGATCCAGTATCAGAGCCAACAGGGAGGAGCCAACAGCTCCTCCATCTGAGGCCCCAACCTGGGGAGGAAGGAACTGGAAAAGATTTAGTCTTAAGGGTTTCAGGTAAACTCTGGTTCCTGCTCTTTGCTCCTAGGACTAGTAAGGGACTGTCCTACCGCTGGGCACCAGTGAGTTGAGATTGAGCCCCTCCCTCAACCAAAGCTCTAGGGGGACTTGGACATGGGGTGCTGGGAGCCTGGAGGCCAGAATGAGGATTCGCACCTCATCCAGCAAGACTAATGCTAAAAGAAAGAAGGGGAGAGTGGGTCTCTGGGCAGCTACTCAGGCATCCATGGATGGTTAGTGAGGTCTGAAGAGCGGTCAGCTGTTTCTGTGCAGATGGTAGAGGCCTTGTGAGGCCTGTATCCATACAGGGAGACACTTTCAATACCCGGCAGAACCTAGCGTCACAAAGCAGTGCCTGGTATGTGTTGTGGGTGGGGGCAACTCAGTACACTGAAAGAGTGAATAAGTTAATGAGAGAATATATTTTTGTTCAAAAACCCAAATAACTTCCTGCGTTCTTAGCCTTTTCAAAGCAGCAACATTTTAGAGTTGGCTTTGAGGGGTTATTCTTTTTTTTTAAGGATTTATTATTCTATGCATCATATGCTCCATCATTTATAAGGAGGCAAGCCCAGTTTCTGCATTTGTACCAGCTAAAACTTAATCAGAGCAATTTAGACCCAGAACTGCAGCCTCAACAACACAGAGCAGGAAAGGTAGGAGAAGGGCTGCTGTCTCAACCCATAAGATAGTGATTTCTGGAAGTCTATATGGTCCAGAAAGTAATCCCAGGAGTTTTGGCCTATGGCTGAGTTCTGTAAGTCTAATGGCAGGAAGTACAACCCATGGTCTGAGCTGAAGAGAAAGTCTCTGTGTGTGAAAATACCAGGCTATATGCTTTAAGACTGAGAGGTCATTCATTTTTTTAGTTTTAACATCTAAGGGATGATTTGGGTTATTTCCTGGTTTTCAGTTCCTTTCTTTTCCGGTCTCTGTGAATGAGGGTTGGAACTTACGCACTTTAGTATAAGAAGTTACAAACAGGTATGTGTTTGATAGGCAGGGCATTCCTTTCTACTCTTGCTGAAATTTCCTTCTCCTACACCCTCCCGAGGAGGGGGAGAAAGAAGCGGAGATCCAGAGCTGTCTGGGATTCAGGGCCGAACTCTGGCAGACACTGGACAGTTCTGTGTTCACAGCGTGCTGCTGGACAAGAGACCCGGCTGGAATTCAGCCAGGCCACAGGCTCAGGAGGGAATGGACCCATCCAGCGTGAGGTCTGTGGACCAGAGGGCGCAGGCCCACCGCGGGTCTCAGCCCCGCTCAGTAACTGGTAGGTTTGGGTCCCCTGGGGAAGGCTACAGCGCTTTCATGACCCTCCCTTTGAGGGAGAAAGGACCCCAGCAGTAACCCCTGCCCCTTACTACCCAACCCGCTCGAAAGAATGCGGGCCACAGGGAGTGAGTGACCAGCGCCAGCGGGTCAGAGCTATTTCGGGCGCCCGAGGAGGCATCGGATTCCAGGCGTTCCGGGCAGGGGGAAGGGACGGGGTCAGGCCCGAGGCGCCTCTTGCACACCCTCGCTGCTGTGGGCGAAGCCCTTGGAGAGAAGCCAGCTTCCCCTGCTCCCGGCCCTAGACTCAGTTTCCCCACAGTGTAAGGGTTGGACAGTGAGGTTGTCATCCTTCCCAGTTCAGAGGACGCTACCTGATTGTTTCATGGCTTAGAAATGAATGTCTCTAGATTTGAGTTCGGGGAAACTAGGAGGGCCCAACGCAGCCGAGGGCAGTCGTGGCCAGGCCGGTTCCTTGGCCTAATCGCCCTGTGGCCCTCGGTAGTGGACACGTTTCAGAGGTCCAAAGGTCTAAGGTTCGGCGGAGCGCCCCTCCCCGACCCCGGTACAGAACACTCCCGGCGACCAGGACCGACTGGGGCGTGTCCCGGGGACAGACCTGGCACGGCTCGGGGGCGGAGCTTCCAGGAGGGGCGTGGCTCTTCGGGCGGGGGCGGGGCGTGTGCGGGACGCGGCGCGCTGCGGGGCGGCCGACGCAGGCAAAAGCGGGCGGTGCGCGGACGGCCGGTCGGCGCCGCGCGGAGCTGGCAGCAGGATTGGTTGCGGCACTCGCGTGTCAGGCGGTTGCTAGGCTCCGGCCGCGCGCCCCGCCCTCGCGCTCAGCGCCCTCTCACCGCCCGGTACGTGCTCGCGCTGAGGCTGCGGCGCGGCACTCGCGCTCCTCGGGCTCGGCGGCAGCGGCGGAGGCGGTGGCATAGCGCCGAGTCCCCGGGGAGCAGTGGCGGCGTCCTGCAGGCACTCGGTGAGTGCGCCGCCCGTCCCCTGCCGCCGTGCCTGGCTGCCTGGGCCCCCGCCCCCGCTGCCGGCCGGGCCTTCCGCGGAACACCTGCTGCTGCTCGCTGGTCGGCCCGGGGCGGGGACACGGCCGCGGACGTCCTTGTGGGTGAGGCGGCGGCGCGGTTCGGGGGAAGCCGCCGCTTTGCTTTCTGCCTCGCAGGCCACGGCTCGGGATGCTGGTCGACCCGGCCTGGGCTGCGCGCCGCGGCGATGGTCCAGGCCTAAGTCCGGGCCGCGCTCCCGGGAACGTGGGGCCTGCTTATCGGCTGCGGGCGTGTGCGGCCTGCGGGCGGCCTCTTGGGCTTCCAGCCGAGGTCGCCGCCCAGTTCGGCCGGAGCCCGAGAATGGGGTTTTCAGCCCCCGCCAGAGGCGAGGAGGGGCGCCACCGTTGCTCGGTTCTGCACACACCCTTGGGTCCCCCCCTCTCCCGCCCACTTGAGCTTCTTTGGAATCCTACTGTCTTTTCACCTTTTCAGTTGGTATTGTAGGACCAGGCTTCACCCACGTATATTTTTGGAGGCTGTCCCCAGAGAGAACGCATTTTGGGCTCAGAATCCTTTTATTATAATTCCAAGTTAATTTCTTACAAAGTCAAGTGGTGATTTAAAATGCATCTTTTGCTTTCCATAACTTGAGAGGCAGGAGCTCTTAGATTTGTAAATTGTTACTTCAGAATTAGTTTTAATAGTGATTTTGAAGTTTGCCTTGGTCGGAGCTAGAGCCTGGGTCAGCCCGTTGATAGCCTAGAGTTCTAACTTAAGAACCCGGCCTGCTGTTTCCCTAAATAAGCGAGTAGAGGTGATTCCTGGCATGGAACCCAGACTCCGTGCGGGGGGGGGGGTGATGTTTATAGGACAGAAGTCCATATAAAGACCTGGATGTCCTTCCAGGTGTTTTGGAATTTCTAGTGTAGATTGGGTATTGTAATTTTATCAAGTTGTTCTATGCTTAGAGTTTAGAGAGACATTGTGATAATTTTGGAATGTCTGTTTTAAAAAAACAGTTTGCCCTTAATATATTTTGGAGGTGTAAAAATCCAGTTTGAGTCTAGATAAGTTAAATTGAACTTTGTTTGCCTTGGAGCCGGGAAAGAACTCATGTCCTGCATGCTTAAAGGAGGCTGAGGAGTGGTTTCATGGAGAAATCAGATTTAAGGAGAGAGTTGGATGTGTAGTGGAAGCCTGTACCAGGCCTGTGGGGTACTGTATAAAGGTAGGAGTAAGCAGTACTATGTAGGCAACAAACATCTAGTTGGAACATGAAAGCTTGTGTTGATATGTGCTTCTGTTGAAAGGCAGAGGGCAAGCCCTCACTGTTCTGAAAAATTGATTTGGCAAAATGCATTCATTCATTCACCAACTATGTGGCTTTATTACATGCCAAATTCTGTGGTAGGTCCTGGGGACCCATGTAAAAGAGACTGGTTGTGCCCTTAAGGAACTCAGTTTGGGGGCAGCAGACGTGAGGGATCCACTGAGTGCGTGCGCACGGGGCTCTGGGAGCCTGAGTAGAGGGTATTCCTGAGTCGCGGCTTGCAGGGCCAGCAGGAATTAGCTGGAGGACAGTGAGGTCTGGACATAGGGAACCACATTTACACCAGTGCCTAAAATAGCACCACTGAGTCCTTCAGCTTGGCAGGTGGGAGTCTGGGGTTTTCTGGTTGTGGTCAGGAGTTTTAGCTTTATACTCAAGGTGTGGAAGCCAGGGAAGACTTAATCAGTGGAGTAGCATGATCCAGACTTGTGTTTAGAAGGGTCTCGGTGGTGGTCACAGAGAGAATGGCGGGAAGGGGAGTGCATCAGGACCTCTAGCAGGGAGATGAGCCAACAGAGGAGAGATGGGAGGGAGGAGGAACCATCTAAGAAGAGAGGCAGAAAAGGTAGAGCGGAGGGGATGCCAAGCCAGGACAGGGGAGGAGGCTGCATTCAGGAATGTGTCTGGGGAAGACAAAGTATGACCAAAGATTTGAACTACCTTTTCTGATGGAGCCAACATGTGGTCGCCACGCAAGTTTGCTAGTGTATCTTAAACGTTGAGAATGTTAGGACTTGGGGAGACGTTGGGGCCATTTCGTCAAATAGACTGGAATAGTTGCTTGAGGAAGGAGAGGCCTGGCACTTGATTGTTTAAAACCTTATCTTTCACCTGAAGCTGGAGCATTGCATTTCCTCTTGGGCAGAGCAGGTGTCTTAACCTCTGAGAGTAAATGTGTATTCATTTTTGCTGAGTCAGATGAGGGCATGTTTATTGCTTTACCTCACAGTCATTCTAGCTTCTGCTGCTCCCTAGGTGAGTGATTTGATGGACCAAGGCAGCTGCATTTGAGGCCCTTCTGTGTGCCTGTTCTGTGTGCACTATCATTAATGCTTATGAAAACCCTTTATACAGGCTAAGGAAGCTGAGTTACAGAAGACTGATTGTGCTTAAGGTCACGCAGCTGTCATCATGTGTTCGAGTCAGATTTTGAACCCAGATTGAACATCTGGTTATACCCATCTGCATTTGTGTTGCATCTAACTGATAGTGATGGCCTCAGCTGGGTGCTTCTCTGGCTGAAGATCAAGCCTAGGCGTCTGGTGGTGGGCACAGAGACAGGACAATAAGAACCCCCACATGGAACTCTGAACACACTGTAAAGGACTGTTCCCAGGAACCAGGATTCATCAGAACCTTCCTGGGGCCTGTGCTGGATTCTGTGGGGACCATGCTGAATAAAGCCAGGGAAGGCAGACTTTAGGGGAGGAGCTTGCATTTGAGATGGACCTTCAAGCAGGGTTAATGGTTTGACTGGTAAAGGAGTATCAACAGGAAAGTCACACCTTTTCTGTGTGTTCTGGAAAATTGGGTTAGGGCCAGAATGTCACATGGAGGAGTTTGGAGTTGTATAGGAACAGGAAACTTTGAAGGTCTTAGAGCACAGCTGTGGTGGGATCAGCTCTCGGTTTTAAGATGTGAGCCCCCAGTGTTAGTGTGGAGGCTGGACTGGACTGGAGGACAGTTGGTTGCTGTTGTGGTCCAGTGGGGAGATAGTGGACCTGAATGAGGATAGTGGTCAGCAGTGGGGTTAAGGGAAAAAGAAGGTTCAAGATGAGTCAGTTCAGCAGATATTGGGCCTGAATAGTGCTAGTATCGACAGGGGCCTACTGTTGAGTGGAAGGGGCAGGAGATGATATGATATAAGATGACAGCATCAGCCAAGTCCTGGAAGGACTTGAGAGACTTGGAATAAAGAAGATCCCCTAGGCTGCAAAACCCTGGTGGCGTAGTTGTTAAGGGTTTGGCTGCTAACCAAAAGGTGAGCAGTTCAAATCCAGCAGGCACTCCTTGGAAACCCCATGGGGCTGTTCTACTCTGTCCTGTAGGGTCGCTATGAGTCAGAATCAACTTAACGGCAACAGTTTTTTCTAGGCTGCAAAAGAGGAAGAAGATTTGAGCCAGCCTTTGTGGCAGGCAGGTGAGACTAGTAGAAAAGAGTGAGCAGAAAAGAGTGGAGCAGGGAAAGACTAACATGTCTGAGGACCAAGGGCTGGACAGGCTGGAGCCAGAGGAGTTGTCCCCCGGGGGAAGAGTAGGGCAAAAGATTGACCTGAAGGCTAAGCTGGGTCAGTGGGTAGCCCCTGGAAGTTCTGAGTAGGGTAGGATGGTGCCTGTGCCCCTGGCAGGAAGACAGGAGACCAGTTTTGAGTCTTTCGTAGGGGTGCAGGTGAAGGAGGCAGACGAGGGTCCAGAGGGTAATGGTGAGGAAGAGGGGTACTTATGATAGAGATAGGATTTGGTGACCTGCTTGATGGGGCAGGGAACCAGTGTGTTTAAAAATGGCTCCAGCTTGGGAGACTCAGAGAATCATGGTAGGGCTGATGTAGCTTTAGGTTATACCCTTTGAAAGAATTGCCGTTGGCTTGCAGATTTGACCTGTGTAGGCAAACTGAGGGTGGCCCATGGTGATGCAAAGTCAGAGTCGCCTTGCTGTGCTTGACTTTGAGTTGGGTTTATTTTGGTCATGTCCTTGATAAGAGGCATACAACTAGCCTTCCTGAATGGCAAGTGATGATAGAACCATTTTATGGATGGTCAAAAATAAGAGTGAGGTTTGTGTATTGTTTCTAGCCTGCATAGGAAGTCAGCAATGAGAAATTTGATTCAATAGTCAGGTTCCCTTGTGCGCTGTATAGGCTTGAGCCAGTGCAGAGCATGACTGGAGCCTGGAGATACTTCCCGTGGAATAAGGTTATGGCGGTTTTAAATATACTGGTTATTAATTTGATCATTTCACAGTAGGTCTTCGTATGTTCGAGTCTTTGGGTATTAAAGCTGTCTTCCTAGGAGTCACAAAGAGCTCTGGTGGCACAGTAGTTAAAGCACTCAACTGCTAACTGAATGGTCAGTGGTTTGAACCTACCGGCTGCTCTGCAGGAGAAAGACGTGGTTGTCTGCTTCTGTCAAGATTTACAGCCTTGGAAACTATGGGGCAGTTCTACTCTTATCTTATAGGGTTACTATGAGTTGGAATCGACTCAACAGCAATGGGTTTGGTTTGGCTCCTAGGAGTCACATAACCTGCTTTGCCTTTTGACAGTCTCAATTCTGATTATTAATAAGAATGCTCAGATAGCAACTTCTATAAATAAGGTTTTAGATTAGTTTACAAAATTACACCAGCCAGAGGGCTTAATTTAGCCTTAATGAATAGGGTTTCCTATTTTCCTGTTTTTTAGGTTTGATAGCTAAACATTTTCTTAGCCTTATTTTGAGTCCAGGGTGGAGAGATAGATGGGATGCAGTGGTACAAGATCATAGACTGAGGGTGTCTATGAGTTGGTGAAGCTGTGCTGTGTTGGAGTGATGTCTGCACGAAACTCTAGCAGTGTGTTTACTTAATTTATATTTATGTTTTAAAAGGAAGATCCTAATGAGAACAATCATTTGAATAAAAAAAAATCACTTTTTTGACAGAATGTCTTTCTCTTGCACATCATGGGGTATATGTAATAGTGTTGAGATTTTGTTTCTCAGTTACACCATTTTAAAAAAAGCTATTTTTTGTTGTTGAGAATATACACGGCAGAACATACACCAGTTCAACAATTTCTACATGTACAATTCAGTGACATTGATTGCATTCTTCAAGTTGTATAACCATCCTCATCCCTCCTTTCCAGATTGTTCCTCCTCCAATAATATAAACTCACTGTCCCCTGAGTTTCTTATCTAATCTTTTGAGTTTGCTGTTGTCAGTTTGATCCCATGTAGTCCTTAGAGAGCGCAATGGTCACGGCAGACATTTTTTACTAATTAAGCTGAATTATTGTTTGGTTTAAAGAAGATTTGAGGGGATATTTCTGGTTTGAGATTTAAAGATTATCTCAGGGAAATAGTTTTGGGGTTCATCCAGCCCCAGTGGATCCAGAAAGTCTGGAGTCCATGAGAATTTCAAACTCTGTTCTGTGTTTTCCCCCTTTTGATCAGGATTCTTCTATGGAATCTTTGATGAAAATGTTCAGTAATGGTAACCGGGCACCATCCAGTTCTTCTGGTCTCGTGGCAAAGGAGGCAGTTATTTATGGAGGCAGTTAGCCACAGATTCCATATCGTCCTCCTATTCCTGACTCTTCTTCTTTCTCTGTTGCTCCAGGCAAATAGAGACCAATTCTGTGCCTTGCCACATGCAAGCTTTTAAGACCCCAGGCACTACATAAGGAACTAGGAGGTAGAACAGAATCAGTTACACTTTCTTGACCTAAGTGTTTTAAAAACACTGTTGTGTAAAATATGGCCATTGGAATTAATTTTATATCTTTGAAACTTTATTGCTTTTGGTCTTGGATTGACTATTGGGTCTTCTGTACAGAAAACAGTTCATTTTCATAGTAGTGACCTTTGGCAAAGAAGAGTGACTAATTAGTGGTGTGGGCAGGAGACTGAGTGGTATTGCCCACTTCCTTTTGGGTTGGTCATTGTGGCATAATTATACTTCATTTGTGGACATTCACCAATTTCCGTTCCTTCTTTTCCTGTAGGGTCTCTGCTCTTCAGGAAGATAAAGCTTTTAAAGCAGCCTTGCACTAGAAAGTGAGGTAAGGTAACTGCAAAGAGAGATGTCTGCAAAAGAAAGATGGGGGTAATCATGTACTTGGCAAAATGTTTAATCACAGAATTTTAAGATGCTTATAATGGGAAAAAGCTTTATCAAATAACAGATGTATTTAAAATAAGAAATGTGGTAGATACACATAGAAAGGAAAGGAAAAATCCCTTGTTGCCCAGTTTTATTCTTTCTTTGAATAGGAAATACCAACACTTGGTACAAATTCAAAAAGTTCAAAAGGATTATATAGGGCAGAGGGATCTACCTTCTACCCTGTCCCCTTAGCCCATGGTGCCCTTCCCTAGAGGCAGCCATTATTTTCTGATTCCTGGGTGTCCTCCAGAGATAGCCCTTGGGCAGCGTTTTTACTGAGTTTAGGTCAGAGTAGAGATAATTTTCACCCTGGTTTTTCCCTCCTAGCGTTATATCATGAGGTTTGTTGTGTAAATAAAACGTTTCCAATAGTTAACCTGCCCCTAGTTCTTAGACATTTGTTTCTTACTTTGGTTGTAATAGATAAGTTTGCAATTAACATCTTTGTGCGTTAAGTTTTTTTTAGAATCTTTTTATCTATCATTATTATATTAAGTATAAAGCTTTTGACAAACTGAAAAATGAGATGTGACTTACAGTTTTGTAGGAGTATATCTAGAATGTCAAGTAAGGCAGGTTTGTATTTTTATTTTTAAGGACTGTATACGTTATGCCCAGTCCCTTTTCTGTGGCTTGCATTGATTTGCAATTTTTCTAGCCACTTAGAGACCTGGTCTCAGTGTTCCCTGTCCTGTGGATTGCATGTACAATCACAGATTCATTCTTCCTGAGGCAGTCACAGCCCTTGGATACCCTCAATATAGGGGAGTGTGCCAGATGGGGGGAGCTCAAGGACTAGGAACATTTGGAAGGATGCAGGGAAGCGGTGGCCAGTGCCCAGCATGGTTCTCTATATTGTAGTCTGCTCTTCATTTCTGTGGGTGTTAACTTTTTATATATGGAGTGTGGAAATCTAAGAACAAGAGATAACTCTCACAGAGTTCTTTCTAATAATCGATATATACTGTATATGCATTGAAACAGAATAGTGCAGTTGAAAGGTGTTTCTCTTGTTTGATTTTTGCGAGTGTTCTGGTCATCTCTGTTTTCCCTCTTCATTGTGCTGGGAGCATTTCCCAGCAGGCACCCCCTGGGTTGACAGGGGATTGCTTAAGAAGATTCCCCAGGGTGTCTGTGGAAGAAGTGAGCCAATTCAGCCTTGGTTGTCATAAACTCCTCTCTTAATTAGCTCAGTTGTTCTCCAGATCTGGAGATATGCTAGCCAGTTTTTGCCTAGAAAAATGATATAATCAATAATGGAATTCCAAATACCATTTCCTTTTTATTTGGCTATGAATCAGAACCTGGGACTCTGTTTTCTGGGCCCTTATTTCACTATGGAATACTTCCATAAAAACACGTTTCTCTTATTTCTCTGTCTTGTGTACACTCCTACTTGGTCCAGTAGGTTAGCTTTGCATCGGAACTGTCCTGACCTCAGCGAGCCTTGTTTACTGATTTTTTAATGTTGGAGCCCAGCCTGGTGAGTAGCCCTTGAGCAGGGGTGGATTCTGGGTCTTGGGGGAAGATAAGGAAGTGTAGAGAACTCTACTCTACCCCTTCTGTGAGTTTTGACTGAAGAAGCGTCTTTTGTATTTTTAGATTTTTGAGCAGTGTTTGGAAGGTTGAATTGCCTGTATGGAGAAATTTGGTAGGAGGAGACTAGAAGAGACGCTCTTTATTAAAGATCTAAAAATAGAATTCATTAAAGTCACAAATAGGTAACAGTAGGATTTCTGTCGCACTCTCTCCTGCTCTGGGTTTGTGCTACTGGGTGTTGCTTCTGCTTACCTGGAAGGATCACAATATTTTGTCACCAGGGTCAGCAGTATAGACTTAACGCACTGTTGCTTGTCAATCTGAACATGTGCTTTTTCCTGTTTTAAAAGTAGTTTAAAAAGTGACTGGATTCCTTGGTGCAGGGGAGAAATTCTTAGCAGAAAAAATTGGTTCTTCTGTTTGCGGTACCAGTCCCGAGTTGGCAGGGCCTGTGAGGCCCCCGGTCTCCTTGAAGCCCTGAGCATCTTTCCTTCTTGTTGGACATTATTGACCAGATAGGGGATTCCTTGGCAGGCTGGCCAGCCCACTTGGTTTAGTCACATGGTACCTCAGGTCTCTCCTGACGTTTTCAGGGTTCTCTTTTGATTCTATCAGCTGGAGAGGAAAATGGTTGCTTATACTTTTTTCCTATGCAGGCCTCTGGTGCCCCGGGCTGCCTGTGCCCTTTCCCTCAGTGTGAGGGGGTGGAGGAATGTCCTGGCTTTCCATCTCGCCTCCCTCCACCGTGCTTCCTGGGAGAATGGGGCCCATTGTGGGCTGTGGCCTTGGGAGGGTCCTCTGCTTCAGTGTCAGGCCTGCTGTGGCCGCTGCGTCCGGTCTGCTGTGGTCCTTGGGCCTGGAGGGACTGGCAGCCCAGCATGCCCTTGTTTTCTTCCAGGCTTCCTTCCCTGCTACCCAGGAGTATTCTGAGGGACAGTGCTTATGCTGTGTTTGCCCTAGGTCTGGCCTCTGATTTTATCATCTTTTGATAAGCATTTTTGTGGATCCCTTCGCAAGTCTGAGATTTCTTTGCAGCATATCCAAGGCCATATTTGGAGAGCCAGGCCGGCTGCTCCCAAGGACGACTGAGTGCCGAGTCACAGAAAGCTGAGTGCTCCCTTGGGGCCTTTCCTATGTTCTGAATCCACTGAAAAGTGTAGGGTTAATATGTTTGTGAGTGAAATTGGACTTTAAGTTCTTGGTTTTTTTGTTTGTTTATTTTGGCCTCAATCAACTTTTGAATTGATTGAAGATGCGAAATTCCAGGTAGGGGAAGCCACAGGGACTCAGCTTTTTTAAAAACAAATTTGTTCTGGATATGGGTGCTCTCCCCTGAGATCAAGCTGCCTTCCCCTTGCCTTTCCTTGGGGCAATTCTGATCCCACACCAGTTGTGTTCCTGGAAAGAATGTGTGTGATACTTATGGTTTCTGTGAGTGGACAGATAGAGATCATCAGCCACTGCTTTTTCAAGGAGACAGATGTGTGACCAGATATTGTGCTTCTGTGAAGGGTAGATGAGTGAGCTGGTGGTGGTGGGGCGGGCTGTGAAGGAGTCCTGGTGAGGCCTCCCTGAAGTTGGCAAGGGGCTTTTCTATGCAAGATCCATATGATGGCTTGGACGGCTGCTGGGGAATTTGCTCCCCTGAAGTCCAGATAGAGTGATCCTGGAGCTTTTTCTTGATCTTCTGAGTAAAAAATTCCATTTTTTTGATGATGCTTCAATATGTACAATTTCTTTGCCTTCTGTGGAAGTGTATTGTGAAAGGAGCAGCTGGCACCAGCACTTCCCCCCACCTTTTTTTTGTTTCATTTATCATAGGAAAAAAACCAAAACCATTCTGTTTTATCCTTCTGTCTGAGCAGAGTGATACGTTTCTTTCTGTGTTTTAGGGCTGGGATTGGTGTTTTGTTTTTATGAAATGAAGTATAAAACGTACTTGCCATGATGAGATCACGCTGCAAATGGCCAGCACTTGTTATAAGATGGTATTGAATTTTCTAAAGAAAAGACTCTTCTTTCAGATAAAGCCTGGTCATACTGTGGTATATTAGGTCATAACTTCCCAAGAGGTGACGTCTGCCCTTGTTTTTTGGCAAGATGGGCAAGATTTTTGGCATAAGCCAGATGGGGCTGGGCAATGAAAACACTGAGTGCCCTCAGAGGTAGAAACCTGGGTCTGAGGAAGGAATTTACCAGAGGTACTGAGTCTCCTCTGACCCTCCGTCCAGTGTGACCTTCAGTAAGGCACTTGACCTCTCAGCCTCAGTGAAATGGGGACATAGTATGCTGCCCATAGGCTGCTGAGAGTGAAATGATGGCTCACTAGTAAGGTACCTGCAGAGCGCTTGGCAGCCCTCCATAATTGCTACTGGTTATTATTACATCTGTCCTTTTTTTTTCCTCTGGTATAAATTAAGAGTTTGCTATTTAATGAAAGCTGGACATACTTCTTAGGTTGAGTGGTAGGTTCATAGGTTTTTTTAAAATTCTGGCTTGTAATAATGTATACAATAGGTTATTTTGTATGTTTTAAATATCTTTATAAAAAATAAACTTAACATGAGCCATTGGTACCTCCTGGAAAGCTTCTCTGGCTTGACTACTCAGAGGCTTTTGAGTGATGCCGTGTCTTGGCACAGTGGTCCTTGGAAGCACTGGCACGCCTCCCCCCCACCCCCCCATGACTCAAGAACTATAGTAGTTTGAGGATCAAGGTTGCTGTTAACTAGACAACATTGTTTAGATTTTAAAGGAGTTTCTTTGGAGATTCTTTGACATGCCCAGGTCTGTCAAAGGTCTACGTTCAAACCTTACCTGTGAAGTAGACCATAGACCAGCAAGGTTGCTGAGTGAGTTCAGAATTACTAGAAAGTGCTTATTTTCTTTCTTTCTTTCTTTTTTTTTTTTGGTATAACATTTATTTCTGTCTGGGTTATCAACAGCAATGCATGCGTATTTGGCTGGTTTTCAAACGGCTATACATACTTATTTTTTCCCACACATGACTTCCTGACTGGGTAACTTATAATTTAAAACTTTGGCTTTTCGGCCAACAGATGCCTTTGAGAGACCTGGAACACATGAGTGTTCCCAGTTGAATGTTAGGCAGCTGCAGATTCTGTACCTGGCGTATGTAATTCGTTTTTACTACTGAGCTATAGTTGGAACTCTAATATTTAGAGTTGTAACTTCTTAAAACAGGAATTTTAAGTGTCTTTTTGTTTATTTGCATTTTTTAATTGGATGAACTTAGTGTGGAGTGTTTGAACGTTATGCTGTAAAGTCAACATCCTCCCTTGAAACCTGGACTGTTCTCGGCTTCCTGACTCCTTGAGCAAACCAAGCACGG